GCGATACGCTGGTTCGTATGCTCTCTACAATTTGCCTTGGTTGAGGCACTCTCTCTTGCCTGTCACTGATCCTTCTTCTGACAAGTACGATTCGGATTACGACTACTACCCAAAATTCGTCAAGCTGACAGTTGGTGAGCTGTTGGGATTCCAGGATCAGTCTAAGGTTGACAAGGTCACTGGTATGCCTTTAACTATGGCACTTTCTGCTACTACTTACCCTGTTACCGAACAGTATCGTGCCAGCTTCGTGGAGGACTGGATGGGATTGTATTACTTCAAGATGTCTAACGGCATGGAGTACAACTGTGCATTCGATCCCGATTGCACGGCTCAGGATGAGTTCAAGGCAAATGGTACATGCACTCCTGATGATAAGTGTCATCCCAACTATGCAGCTGGTTTCGATGTGAAATACGTGCCGGGTACTCTGAATGGTCACGGTACAAACGACTACCATAAGGTTGGTGCTATCGACAAGATGTTTGTCAGTCCTGTGTTCTCAACGGCTGAGATGAAGCTCACTAAGAAAGACCAAGATTATAATGGGGCTACTATTGATGTGTGGGATCTCGCGGACCTGGCTTTCAGAAATGAGAACTGTGATGGTTCAGAGGATGATAGTCGAGGAATCGATTGCGACTCGCCTTATTTGACTCTGAATTTGGGCACGTTCAGTTCTCCGAAACCGAATCTAGTGAGGACTCCTATCTTTGCCTCACTACCTCATTTCTACCAAGTGGAGGGTTCCTCCTCGATCAAGAACTGGTATCCCGGTGATCGCGTTGAGATCAAGAGCTGTTCGGGTTCTGAGGAATGCGATGATGCTGACAGAGACTTCAACTGCGAGATGTGGACTGAGCCTATCACTGGTGCTCTCTTGAAAGGTGCATTGAAGCTGCAAATGAATGTTATGATGCCCTCTGTCGCTGATACCCAGTCTGGGAAGTTGTCAGATGAAGTTTTGATCCCGGCAGTGTGGGTTGATGAGCATCAGCTGGCCTATCCATACCAGATTGACTCTATCAAGCAGCTCCAGGGTGCTCCCGGTCTATTCGAGTTGGTTATGTGGTTGGGTATCGGCTTCGGTATTGTCTTCCTATTGTGTGCTGGTGCACTTTTCTACTTCGGCTGGAGACGTCGTCGTGCACTCAGAGATCTTATGTTGCAAAAGAAGCCATCTGGAGCTACAGAGTTGCTTTAAGGTTTTTGTTATGCGATGGTGTTTTGTACTCAGAGAGTACATGCTGCTAAAGGAGGTTCTTGCAGTTACAATGGTGCTCTAGGGTTTTTGCTTTGCAATGGTGTTTTGTCTCGAATACTTTGCCACGTTACTGTTGCTGATAACAACGAATTATTATATGCTTCACCATTTGTCTATCGATTTGCTCGTACAATACTAATATGCATGTGTGGACCATTTAATCAGCCCTTGACATAAGATTATGGACGATTGTTCAGCTCTGCACGGCTACTG